TCCTGTTTCAGGAGGGATTAATTTTATATAGCAGTTCTCTTAGAAACCAAGAAGTAATTACTAGTATGTAAGTTTTCCCCAGTAACAGCTCTCTTGTACCCCTCGATGATCTTCTCAGGAAGCCTTCACTTCCAACTGCAGAGTATTTATCGTCAGTTTATGGAGGAAGTGATGAGCACCTCTCTGAGAACCGATGTGTCAGAACCGTGTTGTGTGTCTGCAGGTGATTCGCAAATCACTCAAGCAGTTTGGAAGGCATTTATTGGTATCTTGCAACTGAAGCAAATCTGTTTTGTCAAGTTGCACATTTCTTCATCTATCTGCTTATTTCCACAGCAAGTTTTATGTGTTTTTGTAAATCACCAATTAAAGTAACTAGTTACCAAATGGCACTCCACTCGCAGTTCTAAAGGAAACTATTCTCAATGAGATTGCATATTCACAAACATTAGCAAGCCTGTCCCTGTGGCTGGTGTATTTAGACTCACAATTGCAGTTCCATCACTTACTAGCTGTGTAACCTTGGGGAAAATATTTAACTTCTCTGTGCTTCAGTTTTCTTATCTGCAAAACGGCAAAAATAACTGCCCTCTCTCTTTGGTCTGTGTGGTGGTTGTGTAAGTTGTAAATTTCAAGGCTGAGGTCTGTGCCCACCACAGAGCAAGCCCTCAGAGTTAGCCATTGCCATATTAATCTAGGGCAGGTCTCGGCTCATTAATCCATTTGTTTTCTGTATATTTTCCCATTTCCTTTTAGCTCTCACTAGCGTTTTTAGGATTCTCTTTCCTCCCCTAGCCAATGCCAATGCTGAAAAAAATAGTCAAAGAAATTACCAACTGAATTTCTAAACAAAGATTTTTAAACCAGTTTCTTTCCCTTCTCATGTAGAACATAATATTGAGAGCTAGGGGGCTGGCATTGTGGCAGAGTGAGTAAAGTTGCTGCCCTTGATGCTGGCATTCCATTTGGGCAGCACTTTGAGTCCCGGCCGCTCCACTTCTGATCCATCTCCCTGCTAATGTGCCTGGGAAAACGGCAGAAAATGTCCCAAGAGTTTGGATCCTCGCCCCCATGTGGGAGACCTGGATCAAGGTCCTGGCTCCTGGCTTCGGCCTGGCCCATTGCTGGCCATTGCAGTCATCTGGGGAGTTGATCAACAGATGGAAGATATTCTCTCTCTCTCTAACTCTAACTCACTCTAACTCTAACTCTCTAACTCTATAACTCCATAACTAACTCTATAACTCTCTATAACTCTAACTCTATAACTAACTCTATAACTCTATAACTAACTCTATAACTCTGTAAGTCTAACTAACTATAACTCTATGACTCTATAACTAACTATAACTCTGTAACTAACTCTATAACTAACTCTATAACTCTATAACTAACTCTATAACTCTATAACTCTGTAACTCTAACTAACTCTATAACTCTATAACTCTAACTAACTCTAACTCTATGACTCTATAACTAACTCTAACTCTGTAACTAACTCTATAACTCTAACTCTGACTTAATAAATAAGTAAATATTAAAAAATAAAGAATGTTGAGAGCTTGGCACTGAGGAAAGGGAACAGAAAAGGCAGAATAGGGAGTCTGGAGGGGAAAAACTGGAAGGTGAAGCTGGGAGTCCACAGGTGGGTGGGAAGGGAAGAAGGGTGCCTCTTGCAGACGGCCTCTGATAAGCATGCCCTCCTGTGTGAATACCGCCCAGGCAGCTCTGCTGGGCAGTGCGGCTGCTATCTGCAATCCTGGGCTCCTGGACACGTCCTCTAGCAGGGTGGGGAATCCAGTCTTCCTGAGTGGCTATGGGAGCTTGCGAAGAGAAACTCAGCCTTCCAGAATGTTGTATACAAACAGCTGGGAATTTCCTTAGGAAGGAAGCAGTGGACAGTATTTTTTTTCCATTCAAATAAGAAGATACTTCAAAAATTTATGGAAAATGGGATTGAAAGTTAGGTTTAAGAGCTAACATTTGACATAGCAGTTAACACACTGTTTGGGACACCTACATGTCATAATAGAGTGCTTGGGTTTGTGTACTGTCTCTACTCACAATTCTAGCTTTCCACTAATATACATCCTGGGAAGCAGAAGATAATGGCTCAAAAATTTGCGTTCCTGCCTCCTACCTGGTAGAATTGAATTAAGTGCCTGGCTTTCAGCTATGACTTGATTCAGTTTTGGCTACAGAAAATATTTGGGAATGAACCAGTGAAGTTCATTCTCTCTCTCTCTCTCTCTCTCTCTGAATTTCAAATAAAATATAAATGAAAATTTAAAGATAAGTTTATTTTGGTGCAAAAAACTTTTGAAATCCATAGATACAAAGGGTCTTCAAAAATTTCATGGAAAATATATTTTATGAAAAACTCTGCATGCATTTCATTTTCTTGCACCAAAATAAAACAATGTTAATTGTTTTCTATGGATCTTTTTAAAAGATTGAGTTTATTTATTTTAAAGGGAGAGTTACAGAAAGAGAGAGAGAGAGAGGGAGAGAGAGAAAATCTTTCGTCTACTGGTTCACTCCCCAAATGACCACAATAACTAGGTTTGGGTCAGGTCAAAACCGGGAGCCTAGAACTCTATCCCGAGTCCCATGTGGGTGGCAGGGGCCTAAGTACCTGGACCATAAACAGCTGCTTTCTCAGATGCATTAGCAGGGAACTGGATTGGAAACAGAGCATCCGGGACCCAAGCTGGTGTTCTGATATGGGATGCTTGCCTCTCAGGTAGTGGCTTAAACTGTGGCAGCTTAACTCACAGAGCCACAACACTGGCCCCAGTTTTCTATGAACTGTTTGAAGTATCCTCATGCGCGAATCTGCCTATTTAATAGAAAAATGCTAAATTACACAAAGGTCAAGCTGGTATTTGGATGCTTTTACTTTCTATATTACAGAATTACAGAAATTACACAAACCTACTGATTAATTTTAGATTAATCATTTTTGAGAAAGTTAAAAATATCAATTCCTCCTCATATTACTTTAAAAAATTTTAAGGAACTTATTAATACATTAGATTCTCAGGGTCACAGAAAATGCATGATAATTACTACAGTTCTCAACAATTCTCATGCTAGTGTGATATCAATACAGAGAACAGATTCTGTGTAGTTCTGAGATAAAATTCTAAGACTATAATGGTATTTCTCTTTTTCCTTCCCTTCATTTTTTCTTTCTTTAAGTTTTTGACTATAATGGAAATTTAAAAATATTATCTCAAAAATTAAAAAAGAATTACTTCTTTTTATCCTTTCAGAAAAGTCTTTTAAACAATCTTAAAAATTATTTTCTTATCATATAAACCTCCTCAATATCCTGCCACTTACTACCATGTCCCATAACTGTTATTTGCATTCTGAGTGAGCAGCATACCATCTCTGGCACGGCACTTTACCTTTTAATTCTCCCCTGTATTTGTACTTGATCTTAGCCAAAAGGCTGAGAAGCAATCTATCCCCTATATTTATAAATGTGTATGGCAGTGTATTTGTATGTAGCTAGTTATCTATCTATCTTATAGTAGTAGTGTATTATATATATTACATATACATCATATAGTAGTAGTATATGATGTAATTATGATATATTTGAAAAATTATACTTTCCAAAATTACCAAGGACCTTAACTGCACACACATCTTTCATTCATTATTCACGTTGAATTCCACAAGTATGTGACACACATTCTCTAGTCCATTTCCTTGAAAATATCTTTCCTCAATTTCTATAGTATTGCAATCTGCTGATTTCCCTCATTTATGATTGCTGATATCATAGACATCAACCTTGGCCTCAAAAAACTTATAATGGAATGCAAAGAACAGGGTTTTAGCAGAAGTTCCAAGTGCTGATAAGTCTCAGGCAGAAACCTCTTCTGGCCAGCGGTTTTCCTCTACACACAGATACTTACCCATTCAGGTGCAAACCATGAGTATGGGAGACTTTACAGGACCATGGCAGACAGAGGCCACTTGAATAGAGGATATGGAGAATTTTGATAAGGAGCTGACTCTAGGTGGACAACCAAGGATGCAGGATGGAGGAATTTCAACAGTCAGTGCTAGAGGAGAGATGATCCGCATGGATAGAGCAGTGGCCCAGCAGTAGAAAATATTACATGTTCTGGCTCTTTCTGTGAGCGGTACACTGGTATGAAGTGAAAGATGCAAACTACAGCAGATTGGGGTGGGCAGCAGGAGGTGTATACATCTGTAGGCAAAGGGGATCAGTGATTTAGGAGCAGAAGAGAGTCATTATTACATTTCACTCCAGTTAGGACAACTCTGAGGTATAACTCATTCTCCAGGGCTCCCTGTGGATCAGGTGAAAGCTGTGCTGTGTGGGAATTTGCTTGAGATCAGACCCTGTGGCTCCCCCTAACCCCCACCTGCCACTTCCTTGACCCTTGGTGGGTCTTGCTAATGACTAATCTCTATAAACCTTCACCTGAGGATCCACTTCTGGTGAAACTGACCTAGAAACATTTTTTCCTGAGGTCTAATGGGAATGCTCATTTATTAAATGATACTCATTTCATTTCAATATTTAACATGGTATGTGTGCTTTCTTCATTTTAGTTGAAAAAAAAAGTCATTAACTAACATTACATGTAGTACCATCTTAGGATGCCCTCTGTTGTTTTATAAATTTTCACTCAATATTATTTGACTTAAAATATTTTTATAGCAAGCCATACAGAAATTTCTTCTACTGAGTATATTCATGTATAAAAAGTACAGATTGTATATTTTATGAAAGCTAGAAATTGCTTTAAAAATTCCATTACTGAATTTCTAGAGTTTGAAGTTCTAACTTCTTAAGTTGTATTCCAAATATAGTAAATGTGCTTTTATAAAATGGGTACATTTTAAATTCACAGGATTCAGATAATTATATTTCTCTCAGTATTATGAGCAAAACATTGATATGTTTCCTTCCTTCATTTCCCAAGCTGAACTTTTATTTCTTCCTGCAGGACCATGGATAAGCAAATCATTCCAAATTTAGCACGTTGCAACATCTCATGTTTAAATCATAGATGTTTTTATGCGTTTTGTGCCTGTTGCCAACTGTGTCCTCAGCTTTACTTCAGGTAAGATTCTGAATGATGGCACTGAGCTCTGTATCCACACTGCAATAGTGATGAACTCCCATAAATGACTAGGCCATAAATATGTCTTGTATTCTTTAAATAGAACTCAATAGTCCACATGATATGCAAATCACTTCTCTTTAGCCGCTTTCCTTAGGCTGTACGCAATTAATGGGACTGAGTGCTGGTCACGCGGCATGTAATGCTTAACCTCAAAACTCCTTGGACTCCAGGGAAAACAGACACAAGGGAAAATTTGAATAGAAAAGAAGAAGCATTTTCATTTTTAACCCCCCTGAAATATATGGCATTTATTCATTCCTCTGTCTTGGATATTACATTTTGAATCCTGATTAGATAATGTTCTAAAATCTCACCGTGGAATGGGTGCTCATGTATGAAGAATTAGCTGAATCACCAGTTGAGAAGGCCAGAAGGTGATAGATAATTGAGGAAAACTATTGAAAGATTGAAAAGCAGCTGAAAGACAAAAGGTTAATAACCAGCAGTGACCAAGGAAAATGCTGAGATTAAACTCTAACATCAGATTCCAGGGCCCACTGGAAGTTGGGCATAAGAGATGAGGCTGAAAGAACAGAAGGTAATTAAAGGCAGGCGTGGAGGGGGAGGGGGAGAAAAAACAGGAACGAGGCAGAATGGTTTGGGACTTTTACAGTACTCTGAGATCGAAAGGGCTGTCGCATGATGCCTTGGGAATTTGGTCCCATTTAAAACTGCAGGATCAAGCGAATGAGTACATTATTACAATCCTCTTATATAATAGTTAAGAATGATTCACTCTTTATAATTGAGGGGCATAGCAGTAAGCAGTGGTGTTACAAATAATGATGATAATAATCATCATTGTGACAATAATAGTAATAAAAATAGCTCAGACTCACAGGGGGCTTATTTATATGGTGGATATATGTGCCGTGCACTTTTCCAAGGGCTTTTTAGATATTGACTTCCTACACCTACTGTATGAGGTGTTACCATTATAATTTCTATTGTAGGGATGATGAATCAGAAGCACAAAAAGGCAAAGTACTTTGCTGAAGGCCACTCAGCAGGTGAGCGGTGGAGCCAGGCTTCATACCCCAGAAGTCTGGCTTCAGGATCTGCAATAAATGGTTCTCAGGTTACCTAATCTTAGCTGAGAGGGCAAGAAATGCCCGTCACCAAAGAAATGACCAGCCAAGTAATTTTGTCTTTGTCTTAGTCCATTTTCTGTTGCTTTAGCAAAATACTTTAGACTGGGTAATTTATAAAAAAACAAAACCTTATTTGGCTAATGATTCTGGACACTGGGAATTCTAAGAGTGTGGTGCTGACATCTGCTTAGCATCAGGTGAGGGTAGGTGGCAGCATATGGTGGGGCAGACCAAGCATGCCAGCTCAGGTCTCTGTTCTTATTACAAAGCTGGTAGTGCCATTGTGGGGCCCCTCCCTTATCTCATACAATCCTCGTTACCTCCCAAAGACCATGCCTCCAAAACCATTCACCTATGAATTTGAGAAATTTCCAACACATGCAAACTTTTGGGGACATATTAAAATCACAGCAGTTTTAGATTTTGACTTGATACAATCCATGGTAGATGTCTTGGAGGCCTGGAGGTTAGAGGGAATGTTGAGGATGGCTATTTGTGGAGGTGGTAGGACTTTGAGGATTCAAAGATCAAACTCAAACTGTAATAAGCAAAGAAGAGGATTCTGATAAACAGGAGTTCATCTGCCGGCATGGCTGTGTCCCAGGACTTGATCTAACTAAGAACATCTTTCCTTCCTTGCCCTGTTTTTTTTTTTTTTTTTTTTTTCCTTCTCTTAAAATAATTCTTAAACAGGTCTTCCTCAGATGGGCCTCTTGGTGGCTTCCGAGCTGCGTTCTGTTCGTTAACATCCTCCCATTAGGAACTTCTCTTACCCCAGGTTTCCAGAAGAGTTCCAGGTGCGGAATTCACTGGTGTCCATGTCTGAGACAACTCAGAGGCAACTCTCTGTATTGGCCTGAGTTATGTGCCTGGGTCACCAAAGCACTTGCACACCAGAAAATTACCTCTCCCCAAAAGAATACAGATTAAAAGCATAAAAGATGTTACTTCCCAAATTTCAGTGCAGCCCTACAGGAGGGAAAGATGATGGACTTCGGGAGAAAAATAAAACTGTTACAGATCTCTTGCCCCTATATCTTCATGGAATATATTGATTAAACCAAATCAAATATGCAGACAACTAAAAGGCAACATGTACAAGTGACAAAAGTTCTTGGGAAATCTAAAAAGGAAGGCTTTATGTAAAGTTGTAATTTGAGTTGGATGTTAAGAATGATTTTAAGAAGTAAGTTTGGGGAGCATTAAGAGACGGCAAAAATCCTTTTCATTATGGCTTCCCAAATAATTTATCATTCTTGTGATGAATTTGCCCAGGAAGCTGAGATCTACTAGAAGAATTGGGCAGGTTGATGTACTAATAAATTCATTTTCATTAAACTCAAGTAGGCACATGGCACTGGCTGGACAATTGTATTTGCTTTCTTTAGTAATTTTCACTTTCTCACTTTCTGAAATGCAAACTTCAAAACTTTTTCTCTACTCCCAATCAAGACCTTCTGCTTCTCAGGCAATCCTTCCATTCTAACTATAACTGTATTAGTCAAAAACTACCTTCTGTTTTTACCTGAACTATTGTAATACTTCAGTATCAATCCATTTGATTCCACCATTGTTTATCTTTTTTTTGTTCCATCTCATGATTCCAACCCAAATACAAAGTATTATGGATGATGTAGTAGAGTTAATCATTAAAAAATAATTTAGAAGAGTCTCGGAGTGAAGGAAATGTTAAAACCAAGATGTGGATGGAAAGACATGCCTATATCTTTAAATGAAGCCAACAGAGAGTGAAGGTGCAGAGGGAAGACGGAGAGGGTTATTAATGGGGGAAGTCTGCAGAGTGGAGAATTAGGATGGTGTCTCAGTTGGTGGGAGCAGTGGTGTGCTGGGTGGCTCAAACCACAAGCACTTATACCTCATAGTTACGGAGGCAGGAAGTCCAACACCAAAGTGCCTCTATATCTGGTGTGTGGTGAGTTTGCTCTTAGTTTGTGGATAATGGTCTTGCTCCCTCCTTACAGAAAGTAAGCTCTCTCGTGTCTCTTTTTGTAGGGGTACTGCTTCCATTCATGAGAGGAGCTTTTATGGCCCAGTCACCTCCAAAGGTTCTAGCTCCTAAAATCATGGGGGGTTAAGATTTCAACATATGGATTGTACAAGGACATAACCATTTAGTCCATAATAGACTATATTTCAGTAGACAATTATTTCACTAAAAATGGAAAAAATAGAAAATATTGCTGAATGTTTCAGTTGGTAAAATGGTGTAGCAGCTGTTGGCTTCCCAGTCTGAGCTCAAATATGGAGAAGCCACAGCAGTGAGTCACTAGGACAAAAATTTGCTCAGTATCTGAATTAACCACCCTCTAGGCCTTTCTCTGTGCATTGGAATTTAACTGCGGATTCAGCATAATGAGGAGTGCAGGGTAATATGCATGGGGCAGAGGTTAGAGAAAAAAATTAGGATATTTATTTATTTATTTATTTGAGAGAGAGAGAGAGTGTGTGTGTGTGACAGACAGAGAGAGGGAGACAGAGAGGCAGAGAGAGAGGTCTCCCATCCACTGGTTCACTCCCCAAATGGCCACAATGGCCGGAGCTGGGCCGATCTGAAGCCAGGAGCCAGGAGCTTCTTCTGAGTCTGCTATGTGGGTGCAGGGGCCCAAACACTTGGGCCATCTTTAACTGCCTTTCCAGGCCATATGCAGAGAGCTAGATCAGAGTAGGAGCAGCCAGGACATGAACCAGTGCCCACAAGGGATGCCAGCAGCACAGGTGGAGGCTTAGCCTACTATGCCACAGTGCCGGCTCCCCAGAGAATTTTTTTAATATGTGTTCTTTTTAGTGGCTTGTAGTTTATGCCTGAGCCACTGTGAGACCCTAAGTTCACACACCCAAGTTATCTTTGTCCAGGATTTTTTGGATAATGTTTAAGCAGTGCTAAAAAAAATGGATTGGGTACAGTGACAATACAACTTATACATGTGAAGAAAATGGAGCATATTATAGCGCATATTTCTTAGAAGCAGATATAAAGTAAGCACATTTGCATGGTTTCCATTCATCAGGGGTTTCTTTTGTTTTTTCCTTGTCTCTTGGGAAGTTGTTACCTTGCTGACCACTTGAGAAATGTTGCTGACCTGACCAGTCAGGAAGGTTGTTCTAACCTAATCAGTTGCTAAGTACTCAAGGCACACTGCTTTGTGGTGTGGTGTAGTCTGGTGCTAGAACCTAATTTCTCATATGGGACATAAGTGTTTCCTATCTCTCTGCCTGTTTTTCTCTCTTACTGCCTCCTCAATCTTCATATTGATTTGATATTTGTATCCATGTCTTCTTTGACAAAGTCTGTTCTAGGCCTTTGCCCACATTTTTAAAAGCTTATTTATTTTTTAACTTTTATTTAATAAATATAAATTTCCAAAATATAGCTTTTGGATTACAGTGGCTTTTTCCCCACCATAACTTCCCTCCCATCCACAACCCTCCCATCTCCCGCCCCCTCTCCCATTCCATTCACATCGATTCATTTTCAATTATCTTTATATACAGAAGATCAATTTAGTATATATTAAGTAAATATTTCAACAGTTTGCACCCACACAGAAACAAAGTGTAAAGTACTGTTTGAGTACTAGTTATAAAGCTTATGTATTTATCTATTTGAAAGCCAGGAGACACAGAGACACACACACACACACACACACACACACAAAGAGAGAGAGAGATCTTCTATTAGCTGGCTCACTCCCCAAATGGTTGCGATGGCTACGGCTGGGCTGGGCCAAAGTTAGAAGCCAGGCACTTCATCAAGGTCTCCCACATAGGCATAGACGCCTAAGTACTTGGGCCATCTTTTGCTGTTTTCCCAATCACATTATCAGGGAGCTGGATTGGAAGTAGAGCAGCCAGGTCTTGAACCTGCACCCGTGTAATGTGCCAGAGCTATAGAAGGTGGTTTAACCCACTACACCACAGCACACTGGCCTATTCTTTATTAATTTCTTTTTGCTAGTCAGTTGTAGGAGTCCCTTATATGATCTCTTATCAAATAAGTTTTACAAGTGAGTATTTTCTCTCATTGCATAGACTGATTTTTTATTCTGTTGACTGTTTTTTTTTTTTTTTTTTTGGCCTGTCAAAAACATTTTCATATGATATAAACCCACTTATCTGTTTCTGCTTTTGTTGCCTGTGGTTTTGGTCTTAAATCCATGTATTTATTACTAAAACCAGTGTCAGGAAACTTTCCCCATTTTTCTTCTCATGCTTTTAGTTTCTGGTTTTATGTTTGTTTTAATAGATTTTGAATTGATTTTCATAGAAAGCATAGATGAGCATCCATTTTTTGTATGAATATCCTGTTTTCCCAACACCATTTAGAGATTGTTCTTTCTTCCATATGTTTTCTGGGCATTCCACTGAAGATTTGTTTGTTTCAGAGATCTCTACTGTGTTCTTTGGAATACATGGTTTTCTTTATGCCAATACCATTCTGTTGAAATTTTGTTAAAATAAGGAAGTGTAATGCTGCCAGCTTTGTTTTTCTTCATAAAGTTTTTTTTTTTTTTTGCCTTTTGTGCTCCTTCATGGTTCCGTATGAATTTTAGAATTTTTCTTCTTTTTTAATCAAGGTTTATTTATTTATTTGAGAGGCAGAGTGACAGAGAGAGGGAGAGACAGAGAGAGAGGTCTTCCATCCACTGATTCACTCCCCAGGTGGCTGCAACGGCTGGAGCTGGGCCAATCCGAAACCAAGAGCCAGAAGCTTCTTCCATGTCTTCCTAGAAGGTGCAGGGGCCCAAGGACCTGTGCCATCTCCCACTGCCTTCCTGGGCCATTAGCAGAGAGCTGGGACATGGATCAGCACCCATATGTGATGCCAATACTGCAGGTAGAGGCTTACCCTACTATGCCACAGTGCCGGTCCCTAGAATTTTTGTTCTATTCCTATAGAAAATCTGTTGGGATAGCATTGCTTAGTAGCTATCGATTAGACATCTATTAATGTGGACATCTTAATATTGAGGTTTTTTTAACTTTTAGTTAATGAATATAAATTTCCAAAGTACAGCTTATGGATTACAATGGCTTCCCCCACCCCATAACCTCCCTCCCACCCGCAACTCTCCCCTTTCCCGCTCCCTCTCCCCTTCCATTCACATCAAGATTCATTTTCGATTCTCTTTATATACAGAAGATCAATTTAGTATATATTAAGTAAAGATTTCAACAGTTTTCACCCACATAGAAACACAAAGTGAAAAATACTGTTTGAGTACTAGTATAGCATTAAATCACAATGTACAGCACAGAGATCCTACATGAAGCGTAAGTGCACAGTGACTCCTGTTGTTGACTTAACAAATTGACACTCTTGTTTATGGCATCAGTAATCACCCTAGGCTCTTGTTATGAGTTGCCAAGGCTATGGAAGCCTTTTGAGTTCACTGACTCTGATCATATTTAGACAAGGTCATAGTCAAAGTGGAAGTTCTCTCCTCCCTTCAGAGAAAGGTACCTCCTTAATTGATGACCTATTCTTTCCACTGGGATCTCAGTCGTGGAGATCTTTCATTTAGGTCATTTTTTTTTTTTTTTTTTTTGCCAGAGTATTTTGGCTTTCCATGCCTGAAATACTCTCATGGGCTTTTCAGCTGGATCCG